CACTGGGGGGAGGGGCTGGCACACCAGAAGGCTGGGCTGCCATTCAGAGGGACCTGGACAGGCTGAAGACTTGGGCAGAGTCCCTTGGCAGAGACCTCATGAAGTCCAAGAAAGGGAAAAGACAAATCCTGCAGCTGGAGAGGAGGAATGCCATGCAGCAGTACAGGCTGGGGGTTGACCTGCTGGAAAGCTGCTCTGCAGACAAGACCCTGGGAGTCCTGGTGGACGACAAGTTAAGTATGAGCCAGCAATGTGCCCTTGTGGCCAAGGTGGCCCATGGGATCCTGGGCTGCATTAGGAATAATGTTGCCAGCAGGTCAAGGGAGGTGCTCCTCCACCTCTACTCAGCCCAAGGCCACCTCTGGGGTACTGTGTTCAATTCTGGGCTCCCCACTAAAAGAGAGACAGGAAGCTCCTGGAGAGAGTCCAGCGGAGGGCTACAAAGATGATGAGCGGACTGGAGCATCTCTCCTCTGAAGAAAGGCTGAGAGAGCTGGGCCTGTTTAGCCTGGAGAAGAGAAGACTGAGAGGCGGTCTGATCAATGTCTACAAGTATCTGAAGGAGGGGGCATCAAGAGGATGGGGCCAGACTCTTGTCCGTGGTGCCCAGCGACAGGACAAGAGGCAATGGGCACGGACTGAACCACAGCAAGTTCCATCTGAACATGAGGGAAAACTTGTTCACTGTGAGGGTGACTGAGCAGTGGCACAGGTTGCTCAGAGAGGTAGTGCAGTCTCCTTCACTGGAGATATTCAAAACCTGCCTGAATGTGATCCTGGGCTATGTCCTCTAGGTGACCCTGCTTGAGCAGGGAGGTTGGACTAGATGATCTCCAGCGATCCCTTCCAACCTCAATCATTCTGTGATACTGTAATATGTGAGTATTCTTATTTTATTGGAACCTTGGATTGAGCATCTGCAGTTCTTGCTCTTTCTTTTTAATAGAAGTCTATTTTGTACCTAGTTGGAAAGAATAAGTTCAAGAGAATTCCTTCTTGAACTCTCTTGAGAAAAAACAAACCAACCCTCTCTCCACCCCCCACCCATAACTTAATGCTTCAGTGTGGACACCTTGAAAAAGTCTGACTGCAACAAGTCTGGAATAACTTTAAACTAACTAGTTTAAGCAGTGATAGCTGTATAGCTGCTGTGGAATGGAGGCTGTACGACCTGCCAAAGAACCTAGAAAGATCATCAGAGAGCTACTGTGACTTCTAGCACTCTACTGCTTTCAGTGCCTGAAATGGATATATTCGAGCTCTCTCATTTGTCTTCATGAATTTTGGCTGTATCTTTGACTACAGCATGATCCATTCCCAGTGTTGGTTCTTTGACTGTCAATTAGAACTGAAGCATGTGTTTGCATTATGTGTGAAGTACACATTTGGCTTTGTTTTCTCAGGTGAGATTCTTCTTCCCTTGAAGATTAGAAATGCAGTGCCCAATAAAAGCCACACAAAACTGTTCTTAAAAAAATCACACATCTCCTTGGCTTCCCCTTATTTTATAGACAGAGCTCAGTTCTTACAGGGATTCATTGGTGAGAAGAAATTACACTAAGGCTTCACTTTATTCATCTGCCAGCTTGTGAACACTGATAGATTAGGATTAGAACATGTGATTGAAGAAAGAAAAATGAAGAGGAAAAAGTTATTTTCATTTACTAGAGGGACTGACTACTTCTAACTTGTTAGGAGCAACATTTTTTAGAAGTGATAGACAATTTTGGGACAGGTTTTATTCTGGGTGGATTGAATAAAAGTCTTTAATAGGTATGTAGGCTATCAAATATGTTAAATCCTGGTAATAGTGCAAAATCTAACAGTATATTCAGAACTATTAAAAAAAATCAACTATTTAAAATAAGTTGATGGGGATGATGGTTGATTTGGTGTTTTATTTCCCACTTTATCTAACAGGTAGCACATTTATATGCTGACAAGACAGAATGGTAACACTTGTGACTTTTTTCCCTATAGGACACTTTTGACATGAGAATTCTGATGGCTCGGACAGTGAAGTACACAGTTAACTTTACAGAGGCTGCAGAGGAAGATTTGCACAGGTTAGCAGACACCAGTATCCTACTCTTCATTTTTGTGATTGCTCTTCGATGCTCAGAGGTAGAAGAGGATGGTGGTTTTGGCCAGTGGTAAACACCGAAGGGGGAAGGTGGCATGCCAAGATAATTGGTACACCTCTAGTAGTGCACCATAGTGTTCATCTGTGGGATGGTTTGTAAGTGGGAAAGCCTGCTGATGAGCCTGTGAAACAGTAGAAATTGGTTCAAAGGAGTTTCCTATAGAAAGAGCTAAATTGGCCCCAGGAGGAGAGTGTTTGCTTCCTAGCATTATCTGTTGGGACACATGTAGTTCTGGCGACAAAGTAATTTTTGTTGCTCTGCTTCAGCATCCTTAAAGACCTCAAACCTGTTGATAAGGTGGCATCATTACAAGCTTCTTGACTGGACTTTGTGCTACAATGTGTATTTTTAAAAGCTTTGTAGTCTAAGAAGGGTCATCTGCACTTCTTCACTTCCCTACAGTGTTCCTTCAAATCTTTAGTTAGGAAGTCTTACATATATGCTAAACTGCACCTCTCATCTCCCAGAATTAGAACAGAGAAGCGTCCTTCTGAGTACATTATTGAAATAAAGTATTTGTTGCAAGAGAGCTTGAGGGACTACATCAACAGTCTTTGCAAGACATTGACATAAGGGAAAATATCACAGGCTGTCTTTGAAACTCAGAACCCTTATTGTTTCAACATGACTCATGACTAACTATGCATGACATGGTCTAGTGAGAGAGAGGAATTACTCTGAGAAGAGAAAACATCTGGAGAATTGCTTTCAAGTATCAACTGGCTAGTGTTGGCTTGCTTCAGTAGTTCTCAGGAGAGAATTTACCTATGCTGTCTAAACCACAACCAAATGCTATTTGCTTCTGTCTGCATAAATGCTAATTACATGGCTTGCCTCTGCAAGAACCACTAAGATTTGGCTGCAACTGCATAGCCACTGATATGCTTGTTGGAGGTGAAAATATTCCAGCTACCTCTTGCTCAGGAAGCTCAATTTTTGCTTCTGGTTCCAAGAGTAATTCTGTTTGTCGTACTTCCAGTGGAGCGTTTTCCTTTTAGAACAGTATTTAATATAAATATAAATCCTTCACTGGGAATGAGAAATTTTGCTGTAGCAAAATTGAACCTGGATATTTGTAAGAGTCTGCAGTGTTGTCACAAACAAGGCAGTAACTCTTTGGTAGTGGGATATTTGATTCTATTGAAGAATAAGGCATACAAAGAAGTAATACCTAAATTAGGCACACAATGAACTAATACCTAAATTAGTGCCTTTGGCTAATTCTACTGAGACTGAAAATAAGAGCATATTATTTTTAAAATGTGGAAAATTGAGACACAGATTGATTGGAAAAAAAATGGAAATGTAGAAATTAGTGCAGGATGGGTTTCAGTAAATGAATGGCGATGATGGGATTTTGTTTCCAGTACCTTCTGCAAATTACTTTGGGAAAATTTTGTGTTTTCTTTATAGAGTGGAAATCCCTTTTGTTTTCCAAATGATGCAGTCGGGACTAATCCATGGCCTGGCCTTCTGGTTTGATGTGGCATTTGTAGGATCACTGTAAGTACTACTTCATTCCTTTCTACGAAATACTAACTACCGGGGAAGAAAATCCCATCCTTCATGTAAGATGTGCCAGAATCAGATCTTCATCTGGTGCTGAGCCTGTTTGTAATGTCATTACCAATGCCTTTTTTGTTAAGGAAATCATGCCTTCTAGAGGTAACAAGAAGAATGATAATTCAGTGCTAGCAGCATGACTCAAATGGTGATGAACTTGCTTTCCATTGATTAATGTGTGTATATACACGTGCACACACACACACATATATGCCTGATCCAGGAATTGCTACAGGTCAAGATACATATCTTTATATCTTTCTACAACGTACTAATCCTTCATAATATTATGTTATCTTTATGCTTTACACTGTAAATAAGGAAGAAGCTGTAAATGTGAGCTGGATCTTCTTGTTTGGGCTTAGTCATGTTTATGGGCAAACTGGAAAGGAGGTTGCAAGTAGCCACGTACAAAATGGAAATGGAGCAAATTTCTCCAAGTCTGAGGAAATGTTTTCATTCTAACACCACCTATTAATTTTAAAATGGGGACATTCATCTGGTGTAGTAAGTAGGTGAAAATTACAGATAGTTACCTGGGAAGTCAGAAAGTAGATTTTAATTATCTGTATTTAGTTTTATATAAGATTTGTTGATTTCCGAATTAAATTTATCCAGTTTTAGATGAGCTGATTTTTTGCAATATACTGTAAAACATTCCTGTTCACTTCTGTTGATAAATACCATTTATTAACCATTGAAATGAGGATTGTGAAGAATTCAGAATAGTACGTCCATGAAAAGGAAAATGAGCTATGTGTATTTGTAGTTACTTTGAGGGCTGATAGTAAAATTATTCATCTTAAAAAACGGAATTAGATACTCCACATCATGTAAAGCAGTAGCAGAGAAGACTGCAGACTTACAGGAGTTGACTGAGATCATCACCTGAGAAGGTCTCTGTTTTAGAGTAGAAGATTGCATAATCAGCAGATCTTTCATGTTTATAGAACTGCTAAAGTTCTTTGTCTTAGCGCTTGAAATTTCAGTGGATTGGGTTCAGGTTATTGCTTATGTTATTGCTTTCTTAATACCTACAGCCCCCTTCAGCAAAATTACTGAAATATCTTACAAGTGGAAGTATTTGAAAACTACTGTAGGAACTTCTTTGGCAGTGGTGTTTTAAGATGAAACTACCATTATGAAGAATCACATTATAGCATTCAGGACAAACCCATATTTTCTCTAATTTCTTTTCATTATCTGAGTGGGAAGATGGGAATTAGTATTCTGTCCTGGAAGTGTGGACAGAAGAGAGAATAGGTGTCTGGAGAGCCTCTTCTCAATCTCCATAATTGCCTTAGACACTCAGGTCTGGTAGTGACAAGCATGGTATAGATTAAGAAAGAAAAGAAGGTGGAAAATAGTGATCTCTAAACAAAGGATATAATCACCAGCCCAGTTTAGTTCAAGGTAGCTTAAAGTTTATTTTAAGCAATTATTAGGCCCCACATATATAAAGTCCTAACAACTTTAAGTTGTTTCTGAAAGGAGAAGATGAGAAAGCAAGTCTAGATAGTTTTTCTTGTTTGTTTTAGGGTAACTGTTTGGTTGTCAACTGCACCCACAGAACCTCTCACTCACTGGTATCAAGTACGCTGCCTTCTTCAGACTCCTCTCTTTGCTAAAGAGGGGGAAACTCTCTCAGGAAAAGTCTTGTTTGTTGCCAATAAACGGTAAGTATAAAAGCCTCATAAAGCTGGTTTTGCAGTTTGGCTGTTCTTACTAGAAGTACTCAAAAGACAGCAGCTATTTGGATAATCACTACAGAATCCATACTGATGGGTAAGTGGTAATTGGTAACTGTACATACGTCTTAGCAGAAACAGAAAAATCTTGCAGCATAGTGTCTCTTTTAGCACTTTTACATCCACTAGCAAGCCTGCAAGCCAGGCATTTGCTTGCTGATTGTGGATCACAAAGCAAATGTGAAGTGGCAAATTGCAGACAGTATTTCCTTGTGTTGCAGCGAGAGGTAGAAGAATGAATAAATCAAAACACATCATCCAGTAATACAATTTATTAATGGCTTTGATCAGCTCATGTTGCTTGTTACATCTGAATAGCAACAGACCCCTAAATTTAGCACAGCAAAACTGGTTTTCCTGGAGGGGACAGAAGTGGTAGAGTCAAGTTAAGTCTTTGTTAGTGCTTTTTAGATTCATCTTAATATGAATTAATCACAGTGGTTATTTTTCACTGAGTACAATATTCTTTTCCTCTGCAAAATGTGAGTTACTAATTTTTCTACTATGAAGCAGTGTTAGTTGCCAGTGCCATCAGGCCTGGAGCGGGCACTGACACGGTGATGCTCGGATAATTTGATCCGTCATGGGCATTTTCCTTCCTGTTAGCCAGAGAAAGCACCCTGCTCCCCATGTCCTTCTGGCTGCAGAGGCATTTGATTCATATAGCATGGTCAGAGCAGCGGATTTGGTTTATTTTCCTGTACCAGCTGCAGTGATCAAGTGCAGGGCCCACAGAGCTATCGTGTCATTTGCACTCCTTACCATCTCTTTTCCTGTTTCTTGACTCTTCTTTTTCCTGCGCTGTTTCTGCCCAGATAAACTGCCTGTCCCCAATTAGTCTGAGGTACATTTGTACCCAGATTTGTTACTTCTGATATTATTCCATTGATAATCTTGGATTTATATGGTCTCACTAATACGGTTACCTACGTAGGCACTGTTGGCCTTGCAAGACTGCTCTCTAAAAGGTCTCCAGTGCTCCATGCCAATTATCTGTGAAGCTGTTTCTCATGTAATTGCTCTTTAACCACGTGTGAAATCCTGCCATCCTTCACAAGGTTACTTGTAGGTTTGGTCGGCTTTTCATGCTGTTATCTATCACGTACAACAATTTTTTAAGTCATGTTCAAATATTTTCCAAATCTTATTCATTAAGCTTAACTTCAGGCCAGGGGCCTAGTCAACTGCCAGGTCATTTGCCAGCAGTGACACTCCTTACCTCTCAATAAGTCATATGCAGAGACAAGAAGTGGGGTTGATCCTGAATCCATTCTACATTACTAATTCTGAAAAAGATTTCCTATGGAAGTGCTTTCCCTTTTTAAGAATAGTGCTTTCACACACTGTCCTTCCACTGAGGCTAATGGAAAGGAATGTTCTTTCAGAAGAACATCTTTCTTAAGCAGACTTCTCTGTTGCTCTTGCTGTCAATTAGACGTCTGGAAACTCCACTTCTGTATTTTGTTTTTAAAACAATCTTGAAGAGACTGGTTCACACAAGTTGCAGCCTTATTTGCTCATGTATTTGTGGTTGTAATTGAAAGCAAAGCCTACTCTGCGCAGGAAGGTGAATCACAATGGGAGACTTGTTAAATTTCCCGATCTTCTGGTTAGGAGCTCCTCACAGAGAAGATAAACAATACATGTCTCCAAATGTCTCTTTTAAAAATAAAATGCATTACTATTCTGACATGTAAGAGCAACATTGTACTCAACAGTGACCAGACACTGCTGTAAATGTATACATATATAAGGCAACATATAAGGCATATTTATTTATAATTGAGCATGACTCAGAGATACCTGAGCTAAAGACTTTGCTAGATGTAAAATGACAAGTAGTTTGACCATGTGTTACCACTGAGGAGGGAAGTCCTGCTGCAAAGCTGATCTGCTTTCGGGACCACGATTACATCTCTGCATAACTCTGTACTGTGCTGTTCTGTGCAGGAGGATCCACTTGGGTCAGCTTTAGCTATTTTTTGACTGTCTGTATCATACATAAAATCAGGAAGGCATCTTTTGACTTCTGAGCTCAACTTGAGTTTAAAAAACATAGGCTGCATTAAGTGTATTATATGTTGTTGTTAAACTGCATATTCACATTTTTCCAAAAGCGAGTATACTCTGTTTTCCCTGTGGAGAAAAGCTTTCGTCTTCATTACTGTATTACTCCTGCCCACATTCATGCTCTAAAGAGTCTGTAGTCTGAATGCTGAGATACCAAAAGTAGCAAACAGCCAGAGGAAGGGTAAAAAAGCATTAAAATACTGTTGATAGGTGGTTCTTTCTCAGTGGCAGCTTAACTCAGTTGCTAAATAGAGACATGTCATATAACAGCATTACAGAATTCGGGCAAGCACTGAAGGTGCTCTAACTACAGCAGGGATGCTTTCAGTTGCCCAAGTGTTTCTCTTTTCTACGTAAACTTTTCTTGCAAAAAGTCTTGAAAAATACCCTTTCCAAGTGAAATCCTGGATTACAGAGAGAGTGAACCTAATGCTTTTTGGACAGTTAGATATTATTGATCATGAGGTAATACTCTGATTGTGTATGTTAATTTTAAAATTTACAGTATTTCTTTTGGAAAGGGAAAAGACCTTTCATTGCTGTCTTCTATCAGTGCAAAATGATGACGTTTCCTGGATGGAAATTCTTAACATAATACTTAAGTGTCTTTGTAAATTTTACTTCATTTCTTTAAATAATCAGGCCCTAGCACTGACTGCACTGAAAATTAATTCCTTCACTTGTCATACCGAATGGCTATTGTTCAGATAGTAGCTTCCTTTTTAGCATAAGAGGTTATAAATGCAACTGTATTTGAGTTCCGTTTTCTCTTTTTATACTTTTATTTCTGATGCAGACAAAGTTACGATATTCAGATTGTCGCTGTGGTGGACCAGACAGGATTTAAATCTGGTAACATTCTTGATTTAAAGAATCCATTCTTCAGGTAAGAAATGCTTTTGACTAAAATACACCAGTACATTTAATAGGTCAAAATAGAGTGTTGAAGTCTTGTATATCAGAAAGCATACCTACTGTGGATAAACAAATTTCTGACCTCTCATGATTTATTTTATTTTTACAGGTATCAGGGCAATATTATCAGTGATTTCTTATGCAATGCATTATTCCATTCAGGTTGTGTGACAGAGAGCAAAAGGAAATGGGTTTGTAAGATCTGTATTGACTTAGTTGCTGTGACAAAAATAGTAGAATGCATCTTGGACAGAACATGGATATGTGTTTCTTTGAAATAATGTATACTTAAAGATTGCTGCTATTTTCTGCCATGTGATGTGCATCATGGTTCTTTAAGAATCAGCAATCTGCTAAGCTGCACAGTGCTGGGTACATACTTTGATATTACTATTAGATATGAAGGATCCATCTTTTCTTTATAAAAACATGCAAGGAGGAAAAAACCCTGACTACTGCAGTCCTTCCCAAAAGAGCAGGGAGTGTTGTATGTGTTGCTACAGCCAGTCTTAACTCCTTTTGGGAAAAGCTGTCACTTACAGAGCAAGACAGCCAGGAGGAAGAAACCATCAATTCTTGCAAAGCAAAAAAGATTTGTGAGAAAAACAGGCTGGCTGTGTTTCTTATTCTTATGCTGTATTTGGCCTGAAAGTAGACAGCCTAATAAAACTGGTGGAACTGATTTTTCCAGAGGTACACATCGGAAATAATATTTCCTTAGTTCATTATGTTTCTGATATCATCTCAGTTTTTCACTCAGACCTGTATGACAATGTGCAGACCTGCACAGTAATTCTTATACACAATACCCATTGTGTCCGGTGAAAATTAAGTAATTTTCACCAGTTCATTAAACATGTAGTACATTAGATGTTTTTGTTTTAAAGTGGGGCTCCTTTGACTAAATTAGTTAACATGTTGTTACAATAAGACTGTTTGAGGAAGATGTGCAATAATTATAAACAAAACCATACAGTAGAAAAACTGAATTTCCTCACATTTGTCCTGTGATACGGAGAGTATCTAGCTGGTTTATGTTTTTGGTTTGGTTGACACATGTTTAAAATCTAAAAATTTTTTGTGAAGATGATCAGAAGTAAATTTACTGGTCTTCTATAACCTGAGTACTTACTCTCAGTATCCATTGCCTGAGTGTGAGTGACTTTTCAAAGATGACAGCTGTCTGCTCATAGGAGCAAAAGAAGCTTTTGTTAAGAGTTTTTAGTGTAGGTAAACCATAGAAATCATTCCTTGGTAAATGTATGCTATTATTCATTTGGAAGAAAGTGTGGGGGAAAATGGACAAACTGTATGTTGCATATAGGAATAATTTAGGCTGTATAAAGTGGGACTGTAGTTTGAAAACTGAATCTAAAAATGTCACTGTGTGATTTCATGGTTGCTTGCCATTAATTAACCATGTTCATTTCATTAATTGAGACTGCTGTTCTTTATGTATTAATTCTTCAAGTGCTTGGTCCTGAAATCATGCCACAACACAGTAGCCTTATTTCACAGCCTTCCCCGGTGAGGTTGCAGAGCACTGCTGTTTTGTTTTTGATTTATCCTGCTCCATGCTGTCCCTGCCCTCCCATAATAGTTCCTAGAACTCTGGAAGATTTGAAAAAACAAAGGCAAAGAACACCTCCACTAAGAAAAATGCTCTCTGTAGTGTAAGCATGACATAACTTTAAAAGCATTCATAAGTGTTTTTAAAATTAAAACATAATCCAGGTTCCAAACAAGGACATGCAAATTAGCGTGCATGGGGGGAGATTTGATTTAGATATCTGGCGTAAGATTCTAAAGTGCTTTAGTATGTAGGGGGAACTTACTGGGTTTTTATGCCAACACGTACAGCCCAAATCTGTTCTACCTCACTAATTCACAGTGCCCCCCATGGAGAGATTTCTCCTTGTACCACAGGAGTGAAAAGAGGGAAAGGGCAATTCTGGACATTTTGGCTCCCTTAGAACAACTCTGTACTATTTATATTTTAAGGTTTAAAAAAAAAAAATAAAAAAGATGAGCCTTTCATTTCTGTGGAGATCATGGCCTGAGCTGCTATACATGTGAGCAGAAGAAAACCTTTGCCTTTGTAAAATAGGCTACATCACATTTGGTAGCATTTTACACTTCCTTGCACAGCTGCAAATCTAGATGAAAAGACTCGCAATATGACTTTGAAACCACTCTGCATTTTGGTATAGCCAGAAGCAGTATAGGAGACTGACTCCTTAGCCTTATTCCACTGAGGCTCATCTGACTGTTGTGTTATAATAGAGTCCTTATTAAATATAAGAAAGCTGCCAGCAGTTTTTACGCCGGAGTAAAATGAGAAAAGCTACATTAAAAAATGTATTTAGTATGCTTAATTCAGCTAATGCTGTAAGATGCAAAGAACTGTATGTTGTACTGTAACTGTTTATTCTTTCATCCATTTTTAGGTATGCCTAGACTATATTGTAATACGGCATCTGAAAAGCAGAAATGAGATTCTCACCAAGCTGAATAACCAATGAGACTGAAATCAATTCAGGTCCTAGTAGGCCTACTGGTCCTTGTGTAAAATCAATTTGTAACTGTACATATCTGTAATAAAAGATTTTATGCAAGTAGCAGATAAGGGGATATTGTGGTTCCATCCATTTTATTTTATTTTTAACTGAAATTAAACCTAGACTCCACTTACAGACCTAAATTGCAGCAGACTTAACTTCATTCCAGAAAGCTCATTTGGTATGGATCAAGAAGAATTTATTTCTTTTTTTTTTTTTCTGTTTTACAATAAACTGACATTGGTTCAGATTTTGAGGGTTTTTTTTGAGATTACTGTTATTAATATTCTAGATTAGCAAACAAACTCTACCTCATGTTTATATGTATGATACATTAAAAGAACTTTGAGTAATATGCATCATTCATGCTTTCAACTTTCAGCACACACTTCTTGATATTTCAATATACTTCGTGTTAATCTTCTAGCTCACCAGGGTAGTGTGTTAAATAATTTCATTTTCTCTCCATGAACAAATTAAGTTGGTTCACTTTGAGACATGAATCTAAAGTCATCTTGCCTATACCTTTTGAATGTTCTAAGATTGCTCTATAAAAGTTTAACAGGACGCATTTGTAAATTACTTCCAGCATAGCATGAAATAAAAATGTAATGACAGGATATAAGTGAGACTTTCACTTTTTCTGTAGCTCAAAAAACTACTGCTACTCCAAAATACATACTCTTGGCTTGTGTAGCAAGGGAGGGAGGGAGGCTATAGGGTCACAGTGTGGATTCTAATGAGGTCTCTCTCCAGACAATCTTACCCCTCAAGAGCACAAAGTGATTTTATAGACTGTGCTTCTATTACGCAATGTTAGACCTTTGAAAGGCTGAATTGATAAGCTGGAGGAGTCAAAACAAAAAGGTAAAGGTAAGGTTTTACAACCAGAAACATAATAGCAATTACACCTCTAGCAAGATATTATCAGGCTTTAGCCTTCCATTCATTGTAGGAAGGCTGGTGGACTGAAAAGGCCCACCAAAACTGAGCCTTCCCTCATGAAGTAGCATGCAGGATTTGAGCAAAAGACCTTGTTAGCTTTGGGCCCCTCCTGGGAGCAGTTAAGACACAACTGTAGTTTCAGAGGTTTTCTCTAAATCTACAGCTATTTAAAGATGGTTTATAGAATTATGGAAAGTAGTCCTGAAAATTGTGAAACCTGTCAATCCAATCTATCGTGAACTTCTTCATGGCTGAGACCATGATACCATTGAAATTAGTGTGGCTGTACTCATCAGAAAGATGGCCTTGCCTGTCTTAACAGGATATTTCCAGTAACATTTAATGTAGCAGGTCTGAGACTGCTGGCATAAAAATGTTGTTTGTATGATTAAAAAAACCTGTTTTGTTACACAAACTGGCCCATATAAATAGTATTTAATATTGTTTGCTGCCTAGAAATGATAACAGAAATTGTCATTCTAACCTGTGAAAGCAGTGTAATGACATTTCCCAGGGAGTGTCTGATGACTGGATATATGTACTTGTTACATTTATTCTGTACAGCTGGATGGGAGGCCACAAACTTGGGAACAAACAAATCCACATACCAGACAACTGTTAGTCAGTCTACCACAATTTGGCAGGTTTTTCCTTAGTAAGTATGAAAGGATTATATGAGATTTAAAGTTAAATTTAGCTTATAGATTTGTAATGTTTCCTACTGACCTGCGTGTCTCTGTGGATCCTGGATGTGAGTCTCAAACCTCTTTTAAAATTCATCTATATATTGAAGACTTCTGTTGTTTATGGGCAAAAACCTTACATTGTGAATTTCATGTAGTTATCTGAGTTGCTTTGCTCTGCACAATCTTGTGAAGGAAGAAAGTAACTTTTTAAAAGAGGAGGAAAAAACAATAGCCCTGGCAGTAGATAAGGGTGTCAGGTTGAGTCTACTTACTTAATTCTGTATTTGTAGAAAAGATTGCTTCATGACACACTAGCTAGTGTAGAAAAAATAATAATTCACTGTGGTTGCTATTTTGAAGTGATTTAGACTGTTCCACACAATTGGTATTTGTATTTCTCTCTACTTCAGGAGTTCATTTTATTCCCAGATATGCTAAAACTGAAGAGAAGACTGACACTGGATGCTGCACCATTTACTGTTAGAAATGCAGTCCTGTGACTGTTTTCTCATAATTTGATGTTACTGAACAATTGCATTTGATTATTTTATTTTCCCTTCAACCTAGGCAGAGACACATATTTTAAAGTTTGGAAAGCATTCATAAATGCATAGTGATTCATGATAAATTGTGTTTTCAATAGTGATAGCTCTCATTGTGTGTGTCTATCTATATGAGTTCTCCCATCTGCACTGATGATGAATTCTATCCAAAGGAATAGTGAAGGAATTCAATCTGATTAATATTATTATAGTGGTTGCTAAGGGAAATAATGATTTGCTGCACATTATGTGCACTAAGCCCACAGAAATCTTTGTGTATAGCCTTGATGCATCTGGAACTGACTGCAGTGAAACACACAATGGAATTGGTGTTAATTTCCTTAGCTAAGTTGCTAAGAGTTGTGCTTTATTCTCGAACATGCATTCAGAGGTTGGAGGAAAAAAAAAAGTATTTTATTCTTCCTTAAGCCATCGTTTGTGGTGTATATGCTTTTTCCTCTTCTTGATTAGATAATGTATTTTTACCACTCTGCCCTGATGGAAGTCCACAGTTAAAACTGAGGAAGGATAAACTGTGAAGAGAGGGAGCTGAAGAAGAGAAGAGTAGAACGGAGGTCAACAACTCTGCAAGAGTCTTTGGCTAGAACAATTAATTTGTTTAATTTAATTTGTTGCTCAAGGGCCTAAATGTTTGGCTAAATAGCTGACATAAGCTATTTAGCTGAAGTTCCCCAGGTCTGACCCACAATGACTTTAGTGACGTTCAGGTGCACAGAAATGGTTACAGAAAAAAAGAAACTAAAGGGCCTACTTTACTACCCTATCTTGGGAAAGCGCTGTTCACTTTGAATTCTTTGAAAATTCTATCTAAACTGTGGTAAAACTGGATCTTTCTTCCTGCTCTCAACAGGCACATACCAGTTATGATATACAAGCAAAGGAACTCCCTTGTTCTGCGGGGATTTTTAGTGTTTCGGTGTTTTGTTTTTTTTTTTTTTTTGAGACTGTACTGTGTTGAGTACTGTGCTGTTTCCTAAATTCAAGCTTGTTCTATAAGCTACAGTTCTATCATCTTTTATTACTGCTTATATCAGTGTTACTGTATTAACATACATGAGAGGATCTGTGTCACGTTAGCTCTGGCAGTTAAGCATAGTAACCATCCATAAAGGTAAAAACAAGTTACTCTTT